TCTTCTTCTGCTAAAAATGACATAATAGTTCTACTTACCTCTTGGGGGTTTGTGAGGGTCAATGGAGATCCTGCATGAAAGGCAGTTGCTGGCACATAAGTGCTCAGTCAAAAGCTAGCTATCCCTTGATGTCATACTCTTCTGCAATGTCCACAGTCCTACCTGGGGAGTCTGTGCTGAGCTAGATGCTATCCCAAAGAGCCCTGGCCCTGTGGCCGTCACACCCCTTCCATAAATGGGAAATTTACAGCCGGGTGGTCTGGCTCCTTTCAACAATGCTTTTTGGGAGTGTGATGGAGACAAGGTCAGCAGAGGGTCTGGAGAGCGGGTCCCAGGTCCTCTGTTCCTGAGGTGGAGGAGACAGGGCCAGGCTGATATGGAAACAGGAGCCCTGAGTTTCCCAACCTTGGAGCAGAAGGGGCAGACAGGGCCTGTGGGGCTGGAGCTATCCTAAATAGACCCTGAAGAAGAGTCCTCTAGTTTCTTCCTCAAGAAGCAGCACAGGTCATAGCATAGAGACAATTTAGAATTATTCACTAGGTTATAAAGGCTCTTGAAACACAACTCCCCCAGGTCTTCATTCAGACCAAAGTCAGAGTAATTGTTGAGCCTCATGTACACACTCTTTCAGCTGTGCCCTGAGGGGATACAGTGGCTCCCAAGAGTAGTTGTTCCCAGAGTTCTTTTCCAGGAGGAAGAATCAGGGAGAAGGTTTTCAAGAGGGTATGTGTTCAGAGTCCAAGCTCTGGGGTGAGCTACTCTAGGATCTTTGTTGGAATGTGGGTCCACTCTGTCTGTGGTTCAGCACAATCCTGGAACCATCTGTTTGGACTACCACGACTATGGTACAATTGAGCTCTTGGTCTTTTCTTCCAGCCCACATTGAATCCTTTTGGTGTTCATTGTGGCAAAGAAGAAAATTTATAGTTCATCTTTGCTTTAGGATCTGACACAAGGAGGGTTAGGGTGGTGGTTATACTTTCCATTGTCTAGCATGCTGGTAGTAGGTAACCTATGTTTTTTGATTCCTAAATTCATGTAAAAAATCGAACCAAACCCATTGCAGTCAAGTCTATTCTGACTTCTAGTGACCCTATAGGGGCAGAGTAGAATGGTCTATAAGGTTTCCAAGGAGCGGCTGGTGGATTGAACTGCTGACCTTCTGGTTAGCAGCCAAGATCTTAACCACTGCGCCACCAGGGCCGTGTAGCTTTTATAACAGTCTTGATTGATGGTCATTGTCCTATGATTTGGGTCCCTGGTGGCACAGTGGTTAAAAGATATGACCGCCAACCAAAAGGACAGCAGTTTGAATCCACCAGCCTTTCCTTGGAAACCCTATGGGCAGTTCTACTCTGTCTTATAGGGTCACTATGAGTCAGAATTGGCTCGAGGGCAATGGATTTTTTATGGTCCTATGATTTACCATGTCCTGTGCCAGAGAGGTCACTGCCTTCCTGTAGAGAATCATGGTGGAAACTGTGAGCTCTGGCTGGGTTTGACTCCTGGTTCTGCCACTTACTGGTTGTATGACCTTGGACAGTTATTTAACTTAATTACACCCACTGCTGTAAAAATAATAATAACAAATAACATTTTCATAAAGTTGTTATGCTGATAACATGGTAATACCTGACTAGTTCTTAAAAGATAGCCTGATACATAGTTTGTATTTTGTAAATGTTTGTATTTTACTACCTCCTACACTAGTCATTTAATTGTTGGATAACTCTCCAAATTCTGTCAGACTATGCACATGGTAGATGTTGGAAAACATTAAATTGCATTTTCCTCTACCTATGTTTCAGGTCACACAACCTGCTGGTTGTGGTGTTACCCAACCTGTATTTGGATCATTCTCCTGTTCCAGGTCATGACCTTCCCAGACATGGATAAGATGACATCCTATGATAAATATTTTCTTCCTAGTAATCACATTTTGCTCTTAGCATCCTTCTCAGTCTGTCTTATAGTTCTATGGTTTATGTACTGGGTATCCATGAGGGGCAAGGAATTGTGCTGCAGTATAGAATTATGAAGAAAATGATGCTTTAACACTCAAAAATTTGCAAATATCTTCTATGGACTGTTATTACAGTTTCATTTAGCTAATCAAAGTAATCTGAGACTACCATTCACACTCATTCTCCTACAAGTTTCATTCATTCATTCTACATTCATTTATCTATTGATTCTACAAGATTCTCAGGCCACACTCTTAGATAATTTCATTGATTTCCATAACTTTATTTATCAACTTTACTCTGATCTATGCTTTGTTAATTTTGCTCCAAAGTTTCACATCTTCATTCTACTATTTAATTGAGTACTCCATGACAGTGTCCCACAGGAATCCTTGGAAATATACTGAAAACAGAACTTATTCTTTAAAAAAAATTACCCTCTTGTTCACTATTTCCATTAAAAGAATCCTTTTTCTTTCAGTGGCTTAACCTCCAAAGCTTGAAGACATTTTCATCTCCCTATTTACTACTATCATAAAAATGACTACTTTCAATTGTTTCTATTTACACATTATTTTGCATCTAAATCCTTTGTATCTTCACTCTGTCTTGTCTAGATTGCTCTAAGAGCCGCCTAATTGAACGCCTGGTTTCACCATCTCCCTTACCCATCTCTCTCTCTATCCAATCCTTGATTTCAGACAAACTCTCATCATTGCTTTATGCAGAGCATCCATCTATCTGTCTGTCTGTCTATCTATCTAGAATAATATCATAAACATCCATGGACCCACCACCTAAACTGAAAATCAAGACTTTAGCAATAACCTGTATCTGACTGCATGACACTCTCAATTCCACTCCCTTGACTCTCCCCACTTGAGTTTCCTCTCATCCTGTATCCTGTACTCATCCTTCCCTTGCTTTGTTTTTGTGCACTTCTATTGCATCTATATATATTCCATGAAGCGTACTAAAAAAGTTGTTTATAACCGTATTAAAGGGTAACAATAACAATCTTTTGGGATTTACATTTTTTTTTCAATGTAATATAATGTTGCTAAGATTCAACCAAATTGTTGCATGTTTCTGTAGGTCATTCAGAAAAAAGTGATATCTCTACCGGTTGGAGGGATTGACCCCAATTACCAAGGGAAATTGTGTTGTTGCTACACAATGAGGGTAGGGAGGACTGTGTTTGGAACCCAGAAGATTTTCTGGGGTGACTCTTAGTATTTCCATGTCCACTAACAAAGGCTAATAGAAACTACAGAAACAAAGAAAGGTAATACTAAATGTGATCGGCTGCTAACCTAAAGGTTAGCGGTTCGAACCTACCCAGCAATCTACAGAACAAAGGCCTGGTGATTTGCTTTTGTAAAGATTATAGCCAAGGAAACCCTATGGAGCAGTACTACTCTGTGACATATGAGATCCCCAAGAGTTGGAATAGATGGGAACAAGTTTTTTTTTTTTAATACTCGGGAAAGAAAATTTGAGTTGTGTCACCAGGTGGGGACCAAGTGTCCACTGTTCAGCAGCCCCTCTCCGAGATCTGAGCATCAGATAAACGGTAGTCCCTCCTCTGAGTGCCTAGGTGCTGGTGATACCACCTTTCCCCTCTTGTTCCCCCAGTGGTGGTGGAAATAACTTCTTTCTGTAGTTAATACTTTCTGGGTTAATTCAGTAGCTGTCTTTTTTTCTCTGTTAGTCTATTTTAGGATACACCTGTGTATCCAATTTCCTATATTAAAGAATTTGCTTAAAAATACTGGGTATGATTTCCTTTTCCTGACTGGACCTTAACTGACATACCAGCAGATAGTCTTTTCCTGGCTTAGTCAATCATGGGACTTAGGACTCCAGTATTAACCAAATTTCTCAAGTAAATGAAGTATACGAAGTAAATTAAAGGAAAAACAAAACAAAACAAAACCAAAAAATATTAGACAGGCCTATAAAACAAACAATAACACGCATAGTTCAACCATGTATACAAGACTAAATGGACACACCAGCCCAGGGGCAAGGACGAAAAGGCAGAAGGGGACAGGAAAGCTGGATGAATGGAAACGGGGAACTCGAGGTCGAGAAGGGAGAGTGTTTACATGCCCTGGGGTTGGCAACCAATGTCACAAAACAATGTGTATTAACTTTTTAATGAGAAACTAATTTGCTCTGTAAACTTTCACCTAAAGTACAATAAAAAAAAAACAAAAAACAAAAAACATTGTCACTCAGTTGATTCCGACTTATGGCGACCTTAGGTGTTACAGAGTAGAACTGAGTTTGATGGCGGAATCTTTATGAAAGCAGATCAGCAGGACTTTCTTTCACGGTGCTGCTGGGTTCAAACTGCCACTCTTTCAGTTAGCAGCCAAGTACAAGTTTAAAAAAATCACTTCAGGACAGCATGTTTGGCAGAATCAAAGGAAGATGGATGAGGCAAACAATAATTGACTTGACATACAGGTTCAATGAACTTTATTTGCAGTTAAAGCCACAAATATACATATAGAGTCTTATGATCATTATAATTTCCTGATGAAATAATAATTGCCAAAGACGATAGCATAAAAGAATAGGGGAGGAAATTTAGATTCTGAGGAAAACTTCATCCCATCAACTGCTGTAACAACCGTACATTATTTCTCTGTCTAACTTAACGTTAGACAAGGGGAATTGAACTCAACTACTGTATGAGCACAAAACAAAACACAACAAAACAAAAAAACAGTAACCGGCTGCCATCAAGTCCATTCCGACTCAAGCGACCCTATAGGACAGAGTAGAACTGCCCCATAGGGTTTCCAAGGAGTGGCTGGTGGACTGGAACTGCCAACCTTTTGGTTAGCAGCCAAACTCTTTAATCACTGTGCCACCAGGGCCCTGTATGAGCATAGCAGGGATGATTAAATGTAATAGTGTAATAAAAATTGATGTTTCAATAGTAATTTATATCCTTCAAAGATTGAGCTTATGTGATCTTCTCAACCCTGTGTTGGAGGCAGGACTGACATTATTATTCCTAATAGGTAGATGTGGGATCCTAGGTTCAAACTTTCTTAACTTTACTATGCTAGTCAGTAGCATAACTGGGACATGAACCCAGTATTTGTGTACTGCCACTCTGCCAAAGGAGCAACAATGTGTACAACGTGTCAGTAAGATGTCTCATCAAACAATTACAAGATTTTTGAGAAGAGGAATTTTCTGGCTGCAAAGATCAGCGATGGTTTCTTGGAGGGGGATGACATTGAGGCTGGCTGCACTCTATGTGCATCCTTAATGGTGACTGCCATCCCCAGTGTATGACCTCACATTGGTTATGAGGAAATTGTCTTGCTGAAGAGTTTCCCCAAGGCAGCCTTCACGTCCCGGTTTCTCAGACTATAGATGAAAGGATTTAACATTGGGGTCACTGCTGTGTACATCATAGTTATCACTGCATCCTTTAGGCTGTAACTGGTCAGAGGACGGAAATACATGCCCATCACTGTCCCATAATACAAAGAAACAACTGTGAGGTGGGAGGCACAGGTAGAAAAGGCTTTGAGCACACCCTTGGTGGATGGAACCCGTAAGACGGTGGAAAAGACCCAAATATAGGAGATAATGATACATATTAATGGCACACAGAAAATACCAAGCCCTAGGTACATCATTTTCACGTTAAAGTGGATGTCAGAACAGGACAACTTGAGCAAAGAGGAAATGTCACAGTAGAAGTTGGCCACTTCCTGGTTGCCACAGAAGGACAGACTAGCTGTGAGCAGAATGTGGGGGAGGGTGTTGGCGTTTGCAATCACCCAAGACCCAACAACAAGCAGAAAGCAAGTCATCGGGCTCATAATTGTTGTGTAATGAAGAGGGCGGCTGATGGCTACAGCACGATCATATGCCATCACAGCCAAGATGTAGCTATCTGTGGTAGCCAAGTCAATCATGAAATACATCTGTGTTATGCATCCTCCAAAGGAAACAGCTTTGCTGCCCGAGAAATGGTTTGATAGCATTTTAGGAACGGTTACAGACGAGAAGAGGATGTCAACAAAGGAGAGATTAGCAAGGAAAAAGTACATGGGGTTGTGAAGGCGAATGTCGGAACGAATGACCAAGACAATGAGCAGATTTCCAATCAGTGTGATGAGGTAAATAAACAGGAAGAGGATGAAGAAGACGTCTTCCTGCTGTTGCTGACCGATAATTCCCAGGAGAATGAAACCCATGGTAGACGACTGGTTTTCTTCCTTCATGACTCCTTCACTATGAAAGGGAGAAGAGTCCAGATTACTAATGAATTTACTGTGTGTAGTGATCATCTTTATCCACCACCTTTGACTCCAAAGTTCAGCTACCTCTCTACCTAGCTTACTAAACCCTGAGATAGCTAATATTGTTGGGGAAAGAGTCCTTGCTGGTCAGTGGGACTAATTATTAGTCACCCGTAGACACTTCATTTGCTAAACACTCTGTTAGGCCTCATAGAAAATCACAAATTTGAGAAAAATACAGTTCATTAATCCATTTGTTGAACATATAATTAGGAAGAATGAAATCTGTGCTAAGCACTGTGTTGGAGAAAAGAAGGCAAATTGAGGCATAGTCTCTGCCCTCATGGTCCTCACAACTTAATGGAGAAGCCAGAATCACACGTTAATTTTATTACACATGATAATGGAAGGACAGCATTTTGGAATCTAAGACAACATACTCTAGTGTCATGGGCGTGTCAGTGGAAGGACTACCCTGGACTATTAGGAACTGGTCCACTGACCAAACTCAGAGTGAGCCAGAGCCCAGGAGGTGACAGATGTCTATATGGGTGTCAGATAGTTATAAAT